GTGCCGCTCCCCTCTGCCGCCCTCTGACGAACCCGCACTCCCGACCGTCGCACCCGGCGCGACCCGCCATACCCCACCGTTTCTCATGTACGAACTCTTCCTCTCCCCCTGGTCGCTCGCCTCCGCGATTCCCTTGCATAGAAAGCGACGATGCTTAGCTTCGTTCTTCTCTTGCAAATCGCCGGCCGGCGCGGCGGGTTCGTCAAAGCACCGGCTTTACAACAGTCGAAAGGGTTCAGGCACCAGTCAGCCGGCTACCGTCGATCACTTCTGCCGTCTGCGTCGATGTGTGGCGACAACGGCGACGGCGATGTCAACGGGTTAAATCGGCACGACGAGGAATATCGCGATCATGTAACGCCCGTTTAACACTACCCGATTAGCGCGAGGCTGGAGAAGGTCGCGGTACCCTTAAAAAAAAAAGTACTTTGAGATATCCCGATAACCCTCCCCCCCTCCTATTGCTTTCTCCTTAAGGAGAAGAAATATAGAATGATTATTAATACTTGATTAATAGTTATTAAGTGGTGCTATTGAAGGCACTATCTTGTCTATTATATATATTATTTGACTATCATTATTATATTACAATTACTATAATCATTCTTTAACGTTATCCTTGTAACGGAACAAGAAGCATGAAAGTGAAATAAAGAAAATTACGAAAGTATGTTCCCTGTTGGTCGCCGGCCGTACAGAAATGTTTTATGTATTGTTCGTGTTAAATGAAAAACGGTCGTGCTCTATTACGAGTACATTTTAGCATTTTTAAATATTGAAAAGATAAAACATTAGTTTTTTTGAGCAAGTTAGTCAAACGACAAGTTAGCAAGATTACAATATAATATTGCGATCGAAGATATCGCTCATTACAAGTATTAACAAGAACTGTGAGTCTCAAATTTAACACAAATTTTCGCTTAACTAAAAGACCGGTTCTCTGTTTAGATATTCATAACTAGAGTATTCCAAAATTTCCAGAAAAGAGAATTATTGAATAAGAGCTTAATTAAGAAAAATAGGATCCACGTCAGATAGAAGTAAGTCCTATTATACATTCCTTTGAAATCACCTGATACAGCAGTGTCAGATGATAATTTAAAAAAAGTTAAAAAAAACCTATTTTTTTTTATCTTTACTCTCTAAATTCTTTGGAATGGAATCTCACAAAGAGTGAAAATTAAGCCAGTCTTGAAAAAGAGTGGTTCAATTTTCAATCTTCAAGAGTAAGATTTCACTCTCCAGAGTGAGATTTACTCTAAAAAAGTCAGTTTCAGAGAATACGTATAAGGTTGCAACATAAACAATAGCAATAAAAAATCTAATATTATACTAAGGGTATCACGTCCATTTATTAATTTGTTAAAGATCTCTTTTGAAGAACCTTCAAAAATATTAATAATCTTAACATTCTATAACAACAGTTGTGTAACACAGCTCTCATCCGACTATAAAATTTCTTTTTGTTCTTTTTTAAGCCACATTCACGATCGAACGGCAAAAGATATCGCTCGGTATGCGTCACTGTTATCTCTCTCTCTCTCTCTCTCTCCTCCTCCTCTTCTTCTTCTTCTTCTTCTTCTTCTCTCATGCTATATAAAACTTTCAAATTCGCCGTCGGTTGCACACGTCGCTTCGATACGTGCAATTTGTGCACGGATCTTGACCGTGCGGATCGAGTGATCGGATCTTTTTATGCCTATCCCGAAATCGAGGGCACAAGACGCGGGAGCGCACCGACCGATCGACAGGGCCCACGTTGTCGATGCACGATAGCGTAATATAACGGCGAGAGGGGGTGGAGGGGATGACCGGGAGAAGATCGGGCCCGTTGAATGTGAGATATTCGCGTGACCGGGGCTTGTGCTCCACAACATTTGAATTCCAAATGGGCTCTCAAAAGGATTCAAATCTCAAATGCGCGCAAATCGAAGATGCACCATCGTCGTGTATCCTAAATTCTCTCGATCTTTTCGCATTTCGAATATATATCTCCGTTGGGAGCGAAACTGGCGAGATTTCGGATAGGCACGGGGGCATGGACTCTTGTTGCTATTGGATAAGATAGATTTTTACATTGCAAAGGCAAGGAAGAGGAACGAGACATATTTCAAGCATCTCAATGATAGAGAATTCAACCAGGAAATACTTACGAAGGTCTCTTCCGTTTTTAAAGAGATGGAAATAGTCAATGCATATCCAAAAACATATCGAAGGATTCGAATAATTTGACGATGATTGCGCGTTCGATGAATGTCTGGTTAATTGAACGATCGAGAAGAGAAGACACAAAGGGTGCATCTTTAACGGTAAAATGATTTATCTCGATTTAAACCGACATCCGTGAGATCTGTACGCGTACGCGACCGCCGGAAGGTGAAAAGCGAAGAACACTCGGCTCATCGAAATCTCCACGATATCTGTGCCTCTCCGCTAACGCATTGATCGTAGTAATGAGTACCTTGATCGGCGACGGACTCTTTCATCATATCCGGTTAAAGTTGAGCGACGGATCGCCCCCTATATTGTAACTGCACTACTGAAGGTGCATTATGTCGTTCAATAAAATTTTATAGGCGTCTGATCACACACCAATTTCCATATCTCTCCTACTTTTTTCCCATCGTTTCTTCTTTGGAATCAATTACAATAATTTGCATCCTCGCTGAGATCGGGAACGGAATTGCTTATAGCTTCGGCGAAGGTATCTCGCTTTGATCTTTGCGATCGTGTAATATTCATTTTTGATGAGAATCCATCCGTCAGATCCATCACCATCGTCTACGTGTGATCGATATCATCTGCGTGTATTTTCTTTCATTAATTCTTTACTTTGTTGAGGGACAAAGTAAATTAAAACACATTCCCTTTCTATTAAAGCGCATAAGGTGTAGAAAGAAAAATATTGATAAATAAACTTTGTAGTGAGAAATATTTTACCATAATGTAACATGAATAAAACAATACTTAGTAATAACATGAATAATACAATGTGTGTATATGGAAAAAAGTAATAAATGGACTATATTAAGATAATATGTATATTTTAATATCGGTCAGTCAAAACTGAAACTTGATTATCATGCTTAATTAGCAGGCGATTTCTAGATATATCGCAATGTTGATGATAGAAAGAGTAAATAAGTTAAGAATATATACTTTACATGATAATATTCAGATCTACTACATCAATAAAAACGCGTAAAAGACTCGTACATGATAAATTATTCAGTTGTAAAAACTTCGTCTTACCGACTTATGCAAAATAACTTTTTCTTTTTCGTATTACAAATTACAAATTAAACTGCAAGAGATATTAGTTATTGTGCAAACAAAATTGTTTATGTAAGATAATTCGATATGCTTAGAATTACGTAAGGAAGTTTTGTTTCTCGGTACAAATTCGTATTCAGAAGCAAAAATATAAATAATACAGTACATTTGTAAATAATTAATTTAAGGCTCAATTATCATAATATTTTTCATATTAGAGATTAAAAATTGGCGACAAATAATGATCTTCTATAAAATATTTAATTAAAAAATCTGGCTCTCTATTTATCATCAGTTAAAGATTAAAAGTACATTTACTAAATTTAAAACATCCAATATAGCAACAATAAAAATATGAAAGCAATGATGTCATCCGCATTATTTAAAGAAACTTATTATTTGCGTTAGATGATTACAGCGTTTGCCAAGCATTGAAGTCTTCCTCAGGCGCGGCGTTAGTTTATAATCGCTCTTTTCAACTGATGTTATATGATACTTAAGTAGTACATAAATTAAAATATTCGTTATTATTCTAACAAATAATTGCATTAATTTTTTTCAATCAAGTAAAATTGATATATATTACCTGAAATCTCCTTCTTATGCATCGGAAATGAGTCTCTTAATATAGAAAAGGATCTCTTAATAATCATCACTATTTAATCTCTTTTTATCGAAATTAAATTACTGATTCAGTTATGCGTGCATAATTTTCCAGAAATAACTAGATCTGATATTTTTTTCAATAATTTATCGCAAGAATAATAATCAAATTATCCTTAAATAACGGTACATTACATAATAAATTACAGTAAACATTACAATAATCCTAAAAAGACATAGTTTCTCATCTGTAAACAAATATAATCAACATATATTGATTTTTCTTCATGCTTACATATCGATAATTGACACTATAAAGTCGCAATAAAAGCTTTTCGCGTCAAACTTATCAATTATTCTACATTCACGTGACAAAAGGCGAATTTACAAGAATGATTTCCATCTTGTTCGCTCAGTAGAGTTAGAAGTAGCGTTCGCCAGAAATACTTGGAGTGAAATACTCGCCATGATGAAATATCTCTTACTATTGGTGCAATGGATGGATATCTCATTCTTTACCGATATTTTAGTTTAAATAAACATCATTCTTAAACTACTATTTTTCGTTCATGAGTGTCATCATTCAATCTCGTTATTCGCTCCGATTGTGACGATCGTGATAAATGATCATTGCAGATGATACTTCCGTATGTTACATCGGAGATGTGCATCAAACTTCTACAGAACGGAAATCAGGATAATACAGGAAAATACGGGAAATTTGAGCAGCTCGAGACTCTAAAATCAAACAACATCGCTTTTTATAGCGTTAACGCAGTAAACGAATTGCGCGGAAAGCGTCTTATCGTCGCTATGGATTTTATGAGTAATGGTTTCTTTTGACGCAATTTTCTCTCAAGACTCTCAGACTGATTGCTTGATGGTCAAACAAAATAGTCGATAATAATAACCGACCATAAGATATTCTTTCAGATGCATCCATATATCATAAACGTAAAGAAAAACAAAGTCACAGGATTTATAAAAGTTTGGACGATCTTCGAAAAAACTTTGAAAGTTTCAAGTTAGTATTTTTTATGATCAAAATACGACAAAAGAAAGTGTCGTAGTCTTAAGTATTTAAAATTTCTATCAAAAGTTGGAATGGTATATTTTTATTTAAAGTTTTTTATACGTTAACAGTAGGTAGAAATAGATTTTCCCGCTTCGGTGTGTAAAATGATTAATGGCCGATGTAAGTAACCTTGGCAGCGGATTCGCCAAGTATTTCGGCGAAGTTCCTGTATAAATATAGATTCCTGATAGTCATTGAGAGTCAGATACCTACGTCGATGCAGCGCAAAATTATCTCTAAATGCCAGCGAACTACTTCCTCCCTCTCGTCAGTCTGTACAGCCGAAGCGACCGTAATACCAGTCTGACGGCGATTTTACACGAACAATTTTCATGGCGACGCTTCTTCAAAGGGGTATATGTGACGAAGCCGTACGTAGAACTTGCCCAATTTTCCGCGTACCACCCACACCCACGCCGCCGGTGTGGGTCAAAATACTCGCATGATTCATTCGTCTAGACAGGTATAAGTATAGTATCAGGATGGGTAGATGGGCAGCGGGTAGGGAGAGGGACAAGGGATGTTGCCGCGGCGGCGGCGGCGGCGGCGGCGGCGGCGACGGTGGTGGTGGCGAGAGGGACTGGGGGTGTGTTGGACGTTGCGAGTTGTGCGGCACCGTAATAAAGGCGTCTCTTCGACGAAAATGCAGGACGATTTACCGAAGAGCGAGACGGTCGATCATCACGACGTTGATGAATGGAGATACTCACGCACTGCTGATCGCCACGAGCTATTACGTACCGTTCATGATCAACTCGTAAGTCAAATTCGTTACTTTGACACCTCTCTTCTTTCCGCCCCTCTTTTTCTTTAATACAATGACTCTTCCGAGAACGCGTGAAGTGGTAGGGGCCCTCTTATCGCAGTCTTTTGCCTCCCTCCCCCGCGAGGGCGCTCCTGATGAAAGCTTTTTCCTTCAGCTGGTGGTTTTAACGTCGGTCATTAACCCGTTCCGGTTAGGCACCGGTCTTTCGGGATATATACACTCCCGCGATCATATCTCGGCTAATAACTTTCTGATTTCGCTTTCGCAATTTCTCCTCGGTGCCAGCTGTTTCATGCGTTATCGGGAGGAAACTTCTTTATCACGCACGCGGCAAGTATACACGATGGGTACATACAATTGCGATCGAGATATTATCGCATAAAGTAAAAGGCAACAGTCTCGTTCCATTTAAATGAGAAGTTCCATTCACATTTATCCTCGGTAAATTTTCAAGAACTATCTAGTAAACATCACGTAAAAGTAATATGACATCAATGTTAAAATTTTCACACTCAACAATATAACTGTCATGTAATACATGTGTCATATATTTTTTATTATTGTTTTTTATTGAGTGTAAAATTGTAATATTGATGTTATGTTACTTTTAATTAGTGTTTGTTACACTTTTACAATTTTTAGTCGGATATGATAATGATGGATTAAGTTGTTTTTCTGAATTATTATTGCAAGTTACATTTTCCATCTTTAGATACACTCTGTTTGTTCAATCGGAAGGTGTGATTGATGCAAAGTGGTATTATCTTCAGTTGCAGCTTATGACTGGCATGTTTTATATCCATTATATGTACCGCATGCAGTATTGTGAGAATATATAAAGAAACTCGTGTGTATTGACTACGAAGAATCCGATGATAAACTTTCTTCGCTGTCTTTCAATCTTCTTTACGTTTGGGATTTCAAGGTAATACGATCTGTTTTAATAAAGTTTAAAATAAATGGATAAGAAACGACAAGATAATGTTAAAAGTAATATTTTTAAAAACATATATAACGTAAAAGAAATAAAATAAATTTTTTGGCGAAATTGGTTTTACACTACTCTTAGAGTTTTATTTTTTTTTTTACACAAATTTTAATTTGTATTTAAAGAGAGAATTCTCAATGTGAAAGAAAGTTTGAAAGATTGATTTAAGTAGTTTAGGGCTTCAGAAAATACCGAGAAACTTGTCTCTCCGATTAATAATTTTGTCTTTTTTGGTGACGGGAATGTTGATGACATACGTATTTAGCAGCACTCCCATTTCTTTCCAGGCAAATAAAGGACACTCCATTTCCCTGACTAATTTGAAAGACATGGTGAAGAAAAGGACACACTCGCTTTGTATTAGGAATGACAGCATCGCATATGTCTACTTTATGGTGATAAAAATAGAAACAAAGAAAATATATAAATACAAATTGCTGTATTTGCATTTTCGGTTAAGAAATATGTTCTCTTAAGATCCAAGAAAATACGCTTTCTCATAGTGAAATTAGAACAAAAGTAATAATATTTTTCAAATAATGTATCATGAATCTATTTTAATATATTTAACACAAAAGGATGTTCAGAATGATAATCTTGAGAAAAAAAACTCTAGAGAATCTAAAAAAATTGAAAGGATCAGCACATGAAAGAAATTAAAAATAATTGAAGAACGCCGCTTTTCTTTTTTATTCCTTTCTTTCGAATTGCTTGCTTTAGTTATTACAACGCGATTAGTTATTACAACAGCTTCGTCAACTGCAATATCACGTATGGTTTAATATTCGATTAGTGCAATAAAAGAGATATCATATGAGGGAATTCATTAAAACAAGAATTAATTAAAATATTGGTTGCTATCCAGTAAACCATTCTGTTGAATGGTTTACCGAATAACAACTTTCGGGCTGATTGGAAAGAATTATGATTATCCTGATATGAGAGACAGTATGAATCTCGCTTTGAAATTATGCTGTCCAGGTATATCGCCTACTTAGAAACACCGGCCGATATTTTTATCGATTTATTACAAAATTCAGCAAAAGTGTAACATCGTACAACTGCCTACGATTATTGGAGTGTCAGATTGGCGTTTCGACACGCCAAGGCGGTGCAAACTCATTGACAGTTAATAAGTATCATTTTCTATTGACTTCAATCGCGGTACACATACTTGATTACAATTCAATTTATACATAAAAATAAAAACTTTATTTGCATGTAAAAATAGAGATAATATTTTAGGGAAAAAAATTTATTCAGTTAAATTAAGAAATTATCGATTTATATTAAAATTATTCAATCAATACTTACCATTTATTATTTATATGATGACTTGTATCATAATAATTAGATAATAATAATTAAAACAAAAGAATGTAAAATATGAAACACGTATAAAATATGCGTTCCAATTTATTAATTATTCTCTGTTTCATTTCTAATCTAATAGAAAAATATTTGCAACCTTTGTACAGCTTAATGCGTTCGGCTGAAATACTAAATTATCTTGAGAAAAAGTGGATCTCACAATAAACTTATAGCCATTCCAATTATCTTTCAATTATCGAACAAATTTCAACCGGTTGTACATTCGTTTAGTTACCGTGTTCTTCTTTATCATAGTGATTATAGTTATTAATATTGTTCTGTATTTTGGAAAACCTCTGATACTACACACATGCAGAAAAAAAATTGTAATTCGATATTACTGGGCACATGTACTCAACAATTTGAATGTAATAAAGACACATAATAAAAATTGTCACTCAATTGGCGTCGAAATTTCAACTCGCTATTGTTATCTGAAAGTATGAAAAATTCAGAATTTTTTGAGAATGTCACAATATGAATTAATCAATGGTAAATATAGCATCTGAGGCTATAAATATGTAAAATATCCAAGAATGTCGAAATGTTATCTCCACGATAAGTGGAGATAACATTTTAATAAGTGAAATGAATTACGAGATCAACAAGTCTCATCTTTAATGCTTTAAAAATAATATACACACGTATAAACAAAATATTATATTTCGTAAAAAATTCAATTTGGAAGAAAATCTATATTAAAAAAATATTTAGAGTTTCTAGAGATATTTAGAGTTTAAGAGAATGTTATAACACAAATAAATATCAATTTGAAACGTTACCTCACATTGATATAAAAAAAGTAATGAAAAGAATGTAGAGTATAATATCAGCAGTGAGCGTAAAAATTTGCTCCATTTCTTTAATTTTGAGATTTAATAATAATAATAATAATATGTATATAAGCATAATACATAATATACAATACAGAAAAATAATCATGGCGAACATCGTTATCGACCGATATACTTTTTCTTCGTTATGTAAAACCACACGCAAATTGTATCTTCGAATACAACGCACAACAATATCTTGTAATCAGCTGAAACGATGCTCCTCTTATTGTTACAAGATATTATTCACAATTATAAACAACATTTACAAATGCATTATGCATCGGCGTCATATATTCAAGGCCTATATGGATCTTACATTATAAAGAAACTTTGGCTTCTTTTTACGTGGTATTTCGCCACCTATAATCCTATGAAAAAGAGGATACGGGAGCGAGAGAATTCCAGCAGAAGAATTCCAGGAATTGTAAATTCGCATGCACCGCAGGATTTCTGAGTTTCTTCGCTTCCGCATTATCGTCAATTTTTCAAATCTGACGAATTTAACGCTAATATCTTAAATTTTATCCTATATATATGTATATCCAACAAACTTCTATCTTGCGAGATATCGTACTCCTTCGAGCATAAAAATGTATTGATGCGTTTGATTATTTCCTCTGTTTTAAGTAAAGAATCCGACAAACTAAATCCCTAATTTCCTTATTGTACATTAAAAAGAAATAAAAAGAGAAAATGTATTTATGACATTTGTGATTTCAGTACGTAACGATTGTACGGGGTTGTGTATGGGGTTCGTGAGCTCTTCTAGGATTAACATTTGTAACACGTTACAACATTTCGTTAATGCATAACGCATTTTTTCAATTTCTAATGGCGCAACTTAAAACAAAGTTAAGCGTAATCATGTTTAATTATTGTTGTTGATAGCTTCCTTTTGCACTGTCGCGGCTTATACAAACGTTGCGGTAATTGGGATCGTAAGACCTTAAATAAATTGTTATGTGCATGGATAATAAGTGTATCTTATTCAACATACAATGAAAGATTTAGCTACCTATTATATAATACTCTAGTTTTCATATGAAACAACGCTGCAAGGATTCCACTTTAATAAAAAAAAAACATCAGATTTTGATTGGCATCTCTTTTGAAATATGCAAAACTCACTCGCGAGCTGCAATTCATTATGTTCACAGCAGAATTGGAGATTTTTATAATGACTGAACAAATGTGATGAAAATAAAAGCGAAAGTGGTTCGTATTAAAATACAAATGTAAGGTTAAAAAGATTAAAGGGCAAAAATATATGTCAAATTAATAAAATGTGTGTATATTTAATAACGATTTTCGGTTTAACAAAGCCTTCTTCAACCATTACAAAAATTTGCATTTTTCGCCTTTTGCTTTTTAACCTTACATTTATAATAAGAATAAAAAATTTATAACGAAACTTTAACATTTTAAATCGATTCCATCGCAGCTGATTATTATGTTGAGACTTTCATTTTCTATTAATTATAACGGCAAAATTAATGCTAACAAGCGAAGGTCTACGCCATTCTTGTGATAGATGCATAAACTTCTTGATCTAGAAATCACATTATTTACAAATATGCCGTTTAATCTTCATCAATAAAACGTAAAAAACTCCTGCATATAATTACACAATATTTTAATATTATAATACAGTACAATTCGACACGAAACAGAAAGTATAGAACTATATTTTAACGATCCTGTATAAGATCAAATAACGTCTTGTAAACACATTATTTACGCAAGTATTGCCGATAATATCACATATTATGAAAAATATACTCACTTAACTGAAAATTGTTAATTTAATTTATACAAAATAAAATATTCAATCTACGTTTTCAGAAATCATATGTGAGATCTCTTTTTACAGCTTCTTCGAAGCCGAAGGAAGTTCTAAAGATGATTACTAATTTTGTAGATTAAGTATTCATAACTTCGCGAAATAAAATTATTTCAATACTTCTTCTTTTTTTTAGCTGAATCATTTTTTTTTTGAAGACGTTTTTTTGTCAAACGAAAAAGTTGAGCCTCCGATTCGCTTAAATGCCAAATATATGCTAGATGACATGGAAGAAAAATACATATTTAACCGAGGGAATAACCACTCACAAAATAGGTGTACACCTGGACTTCGGATTTCACCAGACTTCACCGGATTTCGAGGAATTCCTTGGACTTCACCGGACTTCACTGGACTTTATTGGACTTCATCAGACTTCGAGAAATTCTTCGGACTTTACTGAACTTCATAGGACTTCTGACAGATTGTACATCGGAATTTAAGAGTGGTTATCCTCTCGTTTAGCACAATTAAGGATATAAATAATATTTTCTTGACATTAACGATATAGCGTATCGTACTGCGCATGTCGCGTTACCACGATCTCATTCAAATTCCGTGTAATACTAAATAGTAAATTACTAGTAATAAACAGTTTTTATAAAATAAATTTCATACAAAACACAAATAAATTCTATCGACGAAACTTATGACAAAAATGTATACGATATTTCGCACAATTTAAGTAACTTGTATAAGTCTTGACTTGCTGATTGAGAATTCAGTGTGAATTACCCAATATTCAAGATTTAGATATTTAGATAAACAAAAAAATGCTACAAAGATTCGGAGAATCATAAACTTTTAAATCAATTTTTAATTTTTAAATAAGAATATCAAAATAAATGATAAGAAAGAAACGGAAAGAGAATTTAAACTTAAAATTAGCCAATAAATTCCCGCAGTTAAAAGAAGATGTTAACGTTTTCCTGACTATTTTCAAAATCGCATGTTTGAAAGTTTTGGCAAAATTATACGTTGATCAAAAATCTGTAAAATTTAAGTAGTTATCCTCACAGTAAGTGGTGATATGTGAAGGAATTAAAAATGCACGGTCAGATGCACGAAGCAAGTCCCATCATGTTCCACGATACGTGTCTCTCGTTACGCAACGGCACGTGAAAACTTCGATCTTCCCGCGATATTAAAGAGGAAGTTCGACCGAACTGTCCTCGAAGAATCAGTCAAGATAAACAAGAGGCGTTACCACACTTCACACTTATGTACCGGATTCATTGTCGAGTTCTTAGGGCAGTTAAATTCTTTCGCGAATTCTGGCAGATTCGAGAGTGATCCTATCACCCTGTATCTCGGTGGACTGTGAGTATCCTTCTCGATCTGAAGAATCTCCGTCTCGGACGTTATAGAGGAGCACCAGATCTGTGGACATTTCTCGCGTAATTAAAATGATCGTTATGTAACTCACACCTTGAAAATATTATCTATTGAATTAAATGTAGGTTTTTTTCCATCGATTTAATGTATCTATCATAAATATTATTTATTATTATTTATAATAACCTGTGCAAAATTCAAGAAAAATAGTTGACGATGCGTCATATTGAGACCGGGTAGCGGCAGTTGATCCTTGTAGCTCTTAGGCATCGA